GGGGATAGTCGTTGCAGTCCACCACAGGGCAACAAGGCTGTGGTGACTGCCTTCACGTAAATTGACTCGAAAATTGGTTGTATATGCCACTGGTTGCCGATAAGAGCGCCCCTGGATCTGCATTACCTTAGAGTAGGGGTACGAGTTATCACTTGAAGTTTATTACTTTTTAAGTATCTGGAGTAAAGGATTATATAGACGATCAGCCACTCAGGTAGTTTAAATGTGGTTAGCTGATTTGGATTGACTGTGCATTCCTAGTTTTATCGCCCTCCTCCTTTCTTACAGTATGATCTACCTAAAGGACTGGATCGTACCACACTTGGAGGGCTGGACGCTTCAACAAACCCTTATGGCTCGAAGACTTTTTTACGTTGACTATTCTATCATGCGTGGTCTCCACTGCCGGCAAGGCAGAATGATGGCAGCTCCGTTGTGTCTCTTCTTTTACACCGAGAAACGTCAACTTCAACCTCTGGCAATTCATTTAGATCCTCTCTCTGGAAATGATCAGTTGGTGGGTTTTGTAACGACCTAAATTATGCTTGAGTGAGTGTACTGGGATTAGAAGACAAATTTGTTAGATGAGATGACAAGGCCGCTGATGATAACAGCACAGAGGTCGAACCCGCTACACAGTCTTCCTCCCCGCCTGTTTTTAGCGTTTTCTTTGGTGCTTGTAACCACTTTTCCGCCTCATCCATCATAGCGTAATCGGCTGTTCAAAACCTATCCGCGTGCCAGAAATGAGGGAGTGCTAATCTTCATTCTGTTACATGTTAGAATATCTTATATTTAAGTCTCTGTTTCAGCTCTTCCGCTGCACTGATCCTGCTGAGGAGTGGCTCCAAGCTAAACTATGGTTTAACCTTGCCGACTCCTGTCACCACATGGTCGTCGGTCGCCTCCTCACTCACCTCATTCTCGAGGGTGTTTATGTCTCCTTGCGTCGAAATCTCGCTCAATCCCATCCCGTCTATCAACTTCTGGCTCCACACTTCCGAAGCTTCCTCGCGGTAAATCAAAAGTTGAAAGAATGGATGCTGGATCGGGGCTGGATTGCGCGGAACATCCAGCTTACACGGAAGGGCATTAAGCAATTACTTCGAAGGGGCTTCAAACAATGGCGATTTGATATTCAAGCTAATGTCTATGCTGAATTGGAGTCTCGAGGGGTGGGTTGGTGCCTATAGCGGTGATGTGTTCGTAGGTGTACGACAGAAAGGCTCTTGGCAATTATCCATATCGTGAGGATGCATTTGTGGTGCATGCAGTGATGGAGAAATATGTGATGCGATTTCTACGGGTGTTCTACGGTAAGTAGAGATGGTTACCTTTACCCGCCTTATAGCACAAGGACCTGTCGCCCTCTTGGAAGATGCCGAACTGCAAACATGGCGGAATGAGATGGCAGATCCGATGGAAGAGGCTGGACTTGGACTGGAGGGCATTCCACTCGGGAAGGCTCGGGTAAGACGGGTTTTTAGTTGTCATTTTCCAAAGCAATATATTATGTGGCGTTTGATTTAATTGTTTGTCTGTACTCTTCGACTCCTTAAAAATTCATAATACGCCTCCCTAAGCTTCATAAAGCCTCCCTCCCTTTATAGATACGCAATGGAGTAGTTTACCCCATCACTAACATAGCCGGTATCTCATCCCACTCCAACGCCAGCTCTCTAAGTGTTGCTTCTAGCGGAAGCAGTGGTGAATGCGTTTTCGGATTGATAACGCTGGAAGAAACCAAATCCCTCCTTATGGGCATTCTCCATCTCCTCGTAATTGTCTCGGGCTCGGTTCTGCGCCTCCCAATGTTCGACGAATACGGTTTCGTGGCCCACTATCCCCTCAGCCTATTCGGTAGTTTCCCACTTCGAGAAGGTGCGCTATCTTATCTAGGGTTTAGACACACGAGACTTAATTTAATCTGATACCACGCGCAGCAGTTTGTGACAAGTCTACTCCATTGCTACCCGTAATAGTCGGTGCATATTTTGTGGACCGGTTCAGTCTTGTTCAGGCATCGCTAGTCCAGTTGGTTGACAGCAGTGGTGATGCGTCCTCGCTTTTAAAACCGTGTACTAGTTAACGAAGTTTCTTGCGAATCAGGGTGCAAAGTGCGGACCCCTGACGTCTAATCCTATAGTGATGGGATGTTTGGTGATAATCCCGACCAACGTCAGTAATTCCTGCAAGCATTCGGTATGTAAAGCCTCCTCCTGATTCCGTACTTCAGATCGACATACAGTAATTCGACTACAGAGTTGTACAATAAACAATTTTTTTGTGGAAACAGTAAATCCACCACAATTACTCAAGAACAATCGCAATTCAGAGAAGTTCATCTCGAAATGGTTTCGTTGCTTTGTGGGTCGAACAAATGTTGCAGGTCGATGTATGGATAGGCAATTCAATGTGTAATTTCATGCTTCCATTTGAAGTGGACACCTCTCTCTTTTAGACGAAGAAGAAGTGAAGAGGAGCACTTTAGAGAGCTGGAGTGGTCTGCATTCCCTCTCCGCCTACGACAAAACTGTTGCCGCGTTACCAAATCGTCGAATGACTGTGGAAATGGTCCTCTATACCCGAGTGGCCAGTAGAATTCAACTTTCTAACCTAGGTCATTATGACATCAACTTCATTGTAGACAAACGAGCGCTAGCTGTCCTAGAAGAGTAAGTTTCACACTTCTTTGTTTTAAAGACTAATCTCTTTCAGATTTCAGGCTGAGCTTAAAGCAGCGAGTGAACAGATTGCAACAAACAATCGACTGCGTGATTTGCATCACAAATACTTGGCTCTGGATCCTGCTGTTATGCCGAACTATCCGGGCATATGATATGTGCACACCTTCCACGCGCTCTCCGGAATGCATTTTTTGTTGTTTTTTTGGCTGTATCTGTATATTGGATAATTTTTCATTTACTGAACCCCCAGCCGCCTTTTTGCTGCAATCTTGTTATTGGTATTCCGAAATACATGTTTATTTTTTTTGTTATTTGATACACCGCTCACTTGGCTTGTCTCTTCTCTCTACATCCTAATATGGTGGCTTTTTCTTTTAATTCTAAGATTCCGAGACGTTGAGGAGGCTCATTCTCACCATGACATCGATACTCCTTTCGACAGCTCGGAAATTTTCGGTGGAACGGTTGGAACCCCTTTTTAGGTAGGTTGTACTGTGAACACTTTGATAAAAGGTGCCAAAACGTTGGGTGCTTACGGGCCTGTTCCAGTCTAGAAGGAGGCCCTTGGCACAATTTTGTGTTATAAAGGCTAACGGGGCTTGCTGAATATGCCACAGGAATCAACCACTGGATTGTGCGTGGACATGTGCATCGAGAATCTTTTCCAGCTTTGGAAGTTAGATCGGGCGGCCAGCAAACTTGAACCACGCAATTCAAGCTAAACTCACATTTAATGGTATAAGAAATCAAAAATATGTTAAAAAATGGTAGAAAGCTCAATGTGGGTCACCGTGTTGATAGATTGGCATACCGAAGCCTCATAATGCATGCATACGTGCGATTGCATACATTTTGGAGTTGCCTGTGTGTGAGAGAAGCTAGAGTTACTGCGTACTAAATGCCAAAAACAATACTCGTCTTTTTTGTCGCATACCCTGGGAACTCCTTTCTAGCACCCCTAGTGATTGGAATACTGGTGGATTGTCTGTACCGTCTCCTTGAAAGTAGATGTATTTTGCAGCCTTAGTTTTCGTCGGCATTACTTTTTTGACTAGAGGCATAGCCGTGGGACGACACCGGAACTCACCACATCTAGCACTGTTGGCACATCTCGCAGATTCCAACGTGGTTTATTGTTTTTATTGAAAAGGCAAAATTATACGAAGGCTCCCTTGGAAACATCATGGAAAGCAGCATATTTTTCACAAGGAGTAAAAGGTATTGAGACATATCTCACCAAACTGTCACCAACGTAGCGGTCGAGTTACGCCTGAAGACGTGAATGCACAAGTTGGATGAGGTCGAAAAGTAACCTCCTCTCCTCCCGTTCCAGTTTCACCTCCGTGATGACACTACCCGTACGTGGCGTTCAACGCCAAGAGGCAAAGCGCTACTGGGCCGAGGACGGCACCTTTGATCCACCCGTACAGGTTGTCATTGATCGGTTCAAGCGTCTGCGTTGGGGCGCCTACATTCATCCACGGGCTGGACGCAGAAAGCATCTTTATAGGTTTGTTAATTTCCTCCCTTTTTTCTCAAATCCTGTGTTTTAAGGTTTGACGATGTCAGAAAGCTGGGATAATGAGAGCTGTTGATTTAATTTTACCCTTTGTTTGTCACCCTTTTACCAGTCCTTCTATGGATGGTTTAAACTAGTTCCATTGTGGATTGAATTGGAGGCATTTTCCAAAAGTTGATATGATTTAAAGACTTCTGCTCCGAGTCTCTCCACATTCCTCTATCGATAAGGAATGCCTTCCTTCTATGGCTTTCTAGTATGGTGTAATGGCCGGCGAACTCTAAAATTTTGCTCTTGTGGAGGGGATTCGCATATCATTGTTCTGTAGTAACAGTCGGGTTGTCCGTGGAGGCGTTGCGAGGTCCGTAGATCTGAAAGTACCTGTCATTAGTGATCTGTAGATCTGCTTTGACCTAAGCCTTCTTTAAAGAATCAGTGAATGTAGTACTGTTGCAACACAGTAGTGGATTAAAACCGGTCACCCGTCCAGACTTCAGGGCGACTCGTACCCCTACTCTAAGGTAATGCAGATCCAGGGGCGCTCTTATCGGCAACCAGTGGCATATACAACCAATTTTCGAGTCAATTTACGTGAAGGCAGTCACCACAGCCTTGTTGCCCTGTGGTGGACTGCAACAACTACCCCC